TTGTATACACTGGAAACATACTCACTTCTTGTATTTGGGCAAGATAAACCAGAGGAACTAATATTAGTTTCTTCACACACACCATTTTCTATCTCAGTTATGCTTATACCCTCATTAGCTTCTGAGAAAGGTACTGAGAAATGCACAGTTTCCATATTCTCCCAATTAAGAGCAGCATCTTCATCAAAAATAACACTCCATGAGACAATGATCTTGTTGTGTTTCAGATCATACACCCTGTAACCCTTTTCTCTTGTCCCATATCCAACAAATACACCTTTCTGTCCAGTTTCATCCAGTTTCTGTCTTAACTGGGTTGGCACATGAGTGTAGCAAACAGAACCAAAAATTCTCAAGTGTTTTACCCCTGGTTTTCTACCACAGAATTCTTCAAAAGGAGTCTTGTTCTCTAGTGCTTTGGTAGGACACCTGTTAAGCAAGTAGACAGCAGTGTGAACTGCTTCACCCCAGAACTTGAGTGGTAATTTTTTTTCATAGAGCATGGTTCTTGCCATCTCAACTATGGTACGATTCTTCCTCTCAGCAATACCATTTTGCTGGGGAGAATAAGCAACAGTGAGTTGCTTTTCAATACCAACATCTTCACAAAATTTTTCAAATTCTAGAGATGTGTACTCTCCTCCTCTGTCACTTCTGATTTTTTTCAGTTTGTAACCAGTTTGTAATTCAGTCATGGCCTTGAACATTTTAAAAATTTTGAATACCTCAGATTTGCACTTCAGAAAATAGACCCAACACATTCTGGACTTGTCATCTATGAAGGTGAGAAAATACCTGCTACCTCCAAGTGTCTCACTCATGGGTCCACACACATCTGTGTGTACAAGTTCTAAGGGCAACTTTGCTCTCCATTTCTGTTCTTTGCTAAAAGCCTCTCTGTGAGCCTTTCCAGTAGCACACCCTTCACACACCTGATTGTACTCCTTTAGATATGGCAGACCATACACCATACTCTTTTCTTGTAGCATTCTCAGGCTGTCATAGTTTAGGTGCCCAAATCTTCTATGCCATTTCCATGTGTTACCTTCAGTGGTAGCAATATTTGCTACAATATGATCCACATGATTAAACATTAGTGGAAAGCATCTATTTCCCTTCATTTTCACAGTGGCTATATGATCTTGCAGTTCACGATCTCCAAATATGCAGGCCATGAAATTACCAAACAACAACCAATAGCCATGTTCAACCATTTGTCCTACACTGAGAAGATTTTCATCCAAACCAGGTACAATCATTACTTCTGGTATGAACCGAGTGCCTCTTTTGGTCTCCACAATCAGTGTGCCTTTGCCAACTGAGTCAACCAATTCCCCTGTGCCCATTTTCACCTTACACCTTATACTTCTGTCAATATTGATCAACAATGATTCAGTACTGGTCATGTGGTTACTGCAACCACTGTCCAGATACCAAACTCCTCTATTTTCTTGCACAGAGGCCTTATGACAGGCATAAAACATCATTGCATTATCTTGAACATGATTCAAATAATTTGCAGTATGATTTTTCTTTGGCTGGTGACAATCTCTCACTACATGTCCAAATCTGTTGCAGTTATGACACTTAGGTTTTCCTTTGAACCAACACTCTCCATGATGAGCCTTATCACAGATCTTGCACTTTTGTTTAACACCCTCAGTGATCTCACCCTGTCTCTCAGGCTGTCGAGTGTTGTTTTCCCACTTCCTAGACATAGACTTCCAATTCTTCTTTCCCTTACTGTGATTTCCCTGTGTGAGTGGCCTATTCTGTGCTTTAGGTACAAGACCCATAGTGGAGAAAGCATGCTCTGTGCTTGTAATTTCGTCAACATGTCTACTCAATCTAAGCTCATAACTCTTAAGAGATCCTACCACTTCTTGCACAGTCACAGTATTCAAATCAGAAGTTCTTTCAATCACAACACAGATTGGATCATATTTACTGGACAAACTAATCAAAACCTTTTGAACTTCTCTTTGATGAGTGAGGTTCTCACCATAAGATTTCATTTGATTAATTAATTCAAATAGTCTAGTAAGATAGACAGATAGAGATTCATTCTCCTTCATTCTCATATACTCAAATTCACGACGTAAACTTTGAAGTTTAACGGATCTTGCCTGTTCATCGCCGCGAAACTCCTCCTGGAGTAGATCCCAGGCACCCTTTGAGGTCTCTTGATTCACGATTCGAGGGAAGATCTCCTTCGAGACAGCACTCTGAATAATGCCCAGTGCCTTAGCATCTTTCATGAGCTGATCTTCCATGTGTGCGTCCAACTTGTCATCATCTCCTTCATCATCATCCGATGAGGATGAATCTTCCTCGTCTTTCTCCTTTTTTGTTTTCTTCTTTTCTCCTTTCTTCTTCGATTCTGGAATAACAATCCCTTTGTCAACCAATTTCCATATCCCATACGATTTGAAAATGGTGACCATTCTCACTTTCCAGAACTCGAACTCCGTTCCATCAAAAACGGGAGCTCGTAAATCACCGCTTCCAGATCCAGCCATTTAGCTTGAATCGGAATGAAATGGAGAGATTTCACGTTGGATTCTCTCACACACTTTCACAGAATTCAACGCCCAGTCCGAAATCGAACCTAGGCTCTGGATACCATGTTGAAATTCCTGTTATGCAGTGATGTATTTAGAAATGTGTATAAGAAGAAGAGGTTTTAGAGAGAAAATGAAAAGACAGAGAGTGTTCTCAAAATATCTCAGTGAGAGCCAAAGAATGCTCTCCTGCATATATTCCTTCTTTCCTCAACATTTACATGACTACTAGGGAGAGAGAAGCTACGTGAGCCTATGAGCTCATCATACCATTCATTACAAGACCCTATGAGATCTTGACACATGTTTACATCCAAGCCTAGCACAATATCATCTAATCTCAGCCCTTGATCACAAACTGATTTATTTACACATGCTAAAGTAAGGAAAATACAGTTTAGACCTTAATCAACTAACACTTTCGACTATTTCCAATACACCTGCCCCATCAGTTACCAGGGCCTTGTATACTGACAAGGATGTATTGGCGCGTAGGTATGAATGTCACTTTGTCAGTCTGAATCCAACTAAGCTTTAATTTCAGCAAGTCTGTTCGGATTTCCTGGGGTAGCTAATACTTTGCTTGATTGTAGAATTTCGCTATTCTGTACCGCGCTTGTATATCCTTCTTAGCTGCTGCAGGATCCGCAGGCTACAATAAACACGAAGATGACTTATTGTGTTCTTGAAAAAAGGATGCTACTCTGGTTTTGTGGAATTGCACATTGAGCAAGGCCCCATTTTGGAGGAAGAAGGTACGCCTTTTTTGACGTATATATTCCCGACATTAGGCATAATATTTTATGTATTGACAATGTATGTTTTCTAATCCAGGTGTATCAATTGGCATTGTAACTGCGATTGCAGCCTCAGCAAGTATAAAAGTGGAGTTTGAAGGCAATGGAGGCCATGCCGGTGCTGTCCTAATGCCAAATAGGTGAGTTGTTTGCAGGCTGTAAAGAAGAGGACCACTGGAACAGCTTTCCTTTTGAAGAGTTGTAAGATTATATGCAACTCTTCCCTACCCGCAAAGTCTGCATGATATTTCCCAATAACTTTCGAAAACTGTTCATTACCGGCATTGCATTAAGAACACAAGTTGTGCACAGTTCCAAATGACGTGTATTTGTTTTCATAAATCAATTATACCAGAAATGATGCTGGACTGGCAGCTGCAGAATTGGCGCTGGCTGTTGAGAGACATGTATTAGAATCTGGATCTGTTGAGGAGTGTCATTGGTACGTTGGTAAGTTGTGTTTCCTTCTCACCTACGTGCAGGACTATGGTTTAGTTCTTTGACTTCCATCAAAAGTTTCTTCAACGTGTTCTAACTCTCTCGCGTTGGCTATTGTTCTTAATTTACGTCGGTGGTATATATTAATAAATTCATTTTGTACAAAGGTATTCTGGAGCTACATCCTGGAGCCATCAACAGCATCCCAAGCAAATCACATCTGGAAATAGGTATGCCTTCTGTCATTAACTTTTCAAGCGCAAAATACAATTTTACTGGAAGTTTTAAAAGATCATCGTATATCCTTTCTCGGCCATAATTTGAGCACATGGATATTAGTCTTTGGGATTTTAATATGTGTCGTAGAAAAATTTGTTTTGATGTATATAATACCTTTTCCTTTTGCAGACACGAGATATTGATGAAGAGCGACGGAACATTGTGATTGAGAAAATCCATCAATCTGCAATCGGTATAGCAAGTAAATGTGCGGTCAGTCTATCAGAATTCAAAACCATAAATCCGGATCCGCGAGCACTTTCTGATAAATCAATACTTAAGGCGATGGAAGCTTCATCGAAAGAGCTAAGCTTAACCCACAAGTTCATGATTAGCCGAGCTTACCACGATTCACTGTCCATGGCCAGGTACGAGAGAGAACCTTATCCCTATAAGAAAGGATTCCCTAAATATCATAAGTCTATTAGCAAATGATTTCCCCGGATTTCCGTTCTTTTAATACTCCACCAAGTGGCTACTTAGGCTGCTAATACAAAGGTGGAATCTCCTTTCTCTATTTCTAGGAATAACCATTTAAAGTAACTGTTCTATTGCTGAAATTAATAATCTTAATCAGACTGATAATTATAGACATTGGATGACATTCACTCGCATAACCGAACAAAAGATTGAATCAGTAGCTAGACACGTAGGGAATGTGAGATCGAATCAGTAGCTAGACACGTAGAGTATGCTGGATCGAATCAGTAGAGAATGCTATAAGGTATATGCATCCATTTGGATTTGGTTTTGCAGGTTACAGCCACAAGCCTGAAGAATATGCATCCATTCAGGATATATCTAACGGGGTCAAGGTATTAGCGTTGACCCTTGCGAAGCTGTCATTGCAGTTGTTTCTGTGTGTGCGCGCTCATTTGAGAGAGAGAGAGAGAGAGAGAGAGAGAGAGAGAGAGATGCCCAAAAACCTGCATTAGGAAGCAAAGTGCTAAATCTGTCTCTCATATACACATCCTTATTACGCCTATGAATTACCCAGCTATCACTCATCATCCAAGTTTCAACTCAAAACTCTCCTGAACCATATATGCCATCACGCTGCAGCCACAGGAACTGCGGTCTCCTCGAGTTCTTCAGCCTTTCCCAGCAAAATCGCCAACTATGAGACGGAAAGAGGGACAAGTTTAGGATTCGGAACACAGAGTATTTACAAAATCCAGCAGTGAATAACAAAACAACTTTGATCAGTAAAATCAAAAGAAAATAACGAACCTGAGCCTTAAACACAATCCGTCCATCTTCGCTATCCAGCTTCGAGACAACAGTAGAGGTGCTTATGCCTGTTCCAGTATTATCCCCAAAGCATTAACCATTATGTTTATCAACATAGTACTGGAAATCAAACACTTGTCAAATATTGACTTACTCTTCTCGACAGCAACTCCATTGCTCTTGAGACTCTCAGCAATTGTGATCAGAGTAGGAATAGCTGTGCCAAATAACTTTCAAATTAGAACAAAATGCTGAAACTTGATGCAAATTAAAACCATGGCTGCTCTAATTAACACTAATAAATCTGCAGCCAATATTGTCGATGACGGAAAAATAACATAAACAAATAAATATGCAAACGGAAACGAGGAAGATCGAAGAAGGTTTCGGTACCCATTCCCAATGCAGAGAGCTCAACTGCATTGTACTGCTTGATGTACCTCTGCAACCGAATAACAGATTCAAGAAAGCTCCTTTAGAAAGATCCAAACACCACCAAATATATGCATCAAAACTTAATAGAAGCAAGAATTTGATGGAATCCGATTAATCTCAGACCCAATCACTCGAGCTCCATTAGAAAATCCCAATTCAGATTAATTCAAGTACTGAGATAGCAAATTGCAAATAAGAAATGGAATCTAGGTTAATCAGATCAAGATTTAACAAATCAGCGCAAGAAAGTATCAAAACCTAAATCACTGACCAATTAATTTCTGTTCGAGAACCCTGATATGTACTCACTCAGAAAATTAGCAAATTTACAGTTCAGATTAGTTGAAGTACTGAAATAGTTAACGAGTCAGTTCAGGGCATATCAAAGTTAATTTAGATCAAGATTTAACAAAACAGTGCAAGAAAGCATCAAAACCCTAACAAACGTGGATTAAAATTCTTTCCCACAGTTTCTAGGCAACCAAACACGCAATAACCAAGAAAGATAGAGAAAATGCAAGGACATTTCAGTGAATAATGAACAGAATCTATGTTAATCAGATCAAGAATCAACAAAAAAGTGCAAGAAAGAACCAAAACCTTAACAGACGACGATCAATTTTCTTTCCCGGGGTTTTTACTTTCTAGGCAACCAAACACGAATTACAGCCCAGAAAGCGAGATAAAATGTAAACGCATTTCTGTAGTCCTTTCGTGTGTGTGTATATACCTTGGCAAGATTGCAGTAGAAGAAGAATGGACGCTTGGTGTGCGAAATGTGAATCCGATTCTTGTTCTTCAGCTTCTTCGTCTTCTGAGTCTCAGCGGTAGCAACATCCCCACCTTCGCATGTAGCAATGGCCTCGCCAACACCGCATGTAGCAATGGCCTCCCCAACACCGCAGGCACCACCGCCAGTAGCAACGACAGCAGGCTTGTTGTCGTTCACTGTCACCGAAGCCTTCATCCCATCCGCAACAACAACAATCGCACTCGACTCCATTGAAATCTCTCGCTCTCTCTTCTGTGTAAAAGGGCGGGAAAATCTGTTTGGAAAGCTCTCTGAAAAATGTGAGTCGTGTGTGATACGCTACGGGTTTATAAGGGCGGGGATGTGTATGCCAACTTCCAATGAGGAAGGACGCGTGGAAGTGTTTAATTGGTTGGGACGTTCTCGCGGTTAGAATCTAACAATACGGTTAGGCAAGTTGTGTAGCAGAGTAGAGAGGCAGCTGCTTATTTCGCTGTGACGGATTTGCCCTCGAACATTTCTTTTTTGAACCAAAAAAGAAAACACATTTCTTTGGAATTGCCCATTTTCACTGGCCGGGAAGTTGCTGAAATTGCCCGAGCCTATTTTTGGGCTGCCCATATGAATTTTTTAGAACAACTCCAGCGTTGCAAAGGTTTCTTAGAGCAACTCACTATTGAATCAACCCAATAAATAGTAAATGTCTTTAATAAACAGTAACTACCTTTTGCATATTTACCTCTAAAATTGAATAGCCATGGCAATATATAATAAAATATTAGTATTTTTTCCTCACCCAATCCATCAGACATCCCCTTCATCCTTTTCCATTTTTCCCCTCATTTGACCGGTTCTTCCTCTCTCTCCCTCTCCCTCTCTCTCTCTTTCTCTCTCTTTTTCTTTCTATCTCTCTCTTTTCTCTCCCTCTTTTCCAACTCACTCTCGTGAGCTCTCTTCCTCCTTCCTCTTCAAACCTTCAACAAATCAAGCTCAAAAATAATATTTTTGGAATCCCTGGAACTCACGGAACCCAACCATGGCCTTGCGTGCGGCATCGGTGGAACTAAAGAAAACAATTAATTGCTGGCCTAACGCTTTAAAACCCTTTAACACCATCCTCTCAGCTCCCAGCCTCAGCCATTCATAACCTCTGCAAAAAAAAAAAAAAAACAAAGAGCAAAAGCAAAAGCAATAGAGAAAGATATAAGAAAATATAGAGAATTTCACGAAAATGGTTGGTTTTTGTTTTTGTGAAAAGGAAGTAGAGGAGGTTGAAGAGAAGATGATGCAGACGGAGCATTCTCAGTTGGCGGCTCAGTCGCAGCAGCAGCAACAACTAGTGGTGCAGAACTCCGTCGGAAACCTCAGTTTCAACAGCAACATGTCGAAGGAAGACGAGGAGATGTCAAGGTCGACGCATGCACCGATGCTGCACATTAGCCACACGTCACACAGCCCTCAGGCTCTCGGGCTGTCGATTCTCGCCTGACCTCTTGCTCGGGCCTCCCCCGAGCCCCATTGCCTGTATGGGCTGGAGCTGCTAGCTAGGGTGATTGGGTTGGAGCAACAGCCAGTCCACCGGGCTATTGAATACAGTGGAGCTGCTCTTAAGGGAGGAGGATTCTCTCCGCTTCCCTTCCCTCCTATTTGAACGGTTACGGTTTAGTCACGTCAACATCTTATATTGAAATTTTTTATAAAGACAATAAGACAAAAACCAATATGTGAAAGGATGAGAGGGAAAATGATGCGAATAGGAGGGGAGAGAATCCTCATTTTTTAAGTTTAATTTTATTTTAGAACAAAGCTTGGCCTCTGCACAATCAGTAGTATAGCTACTACTAAAAGCTTATGTGGCTCCTCCTTAGGTTGACACATGTCAAGAATTTATTTAGTTTGAAAAGTCAATTAAACAAGTGTCAAACCAAGGATGAGCACATTGGTTTTTTAGCAGCAGCTGTTGCTATTTGTGCATAAGCCAAGCTTTGGTTCTTTAATAATTTTTAATTTAGGGTTATTTTGGTAACAAAGAAAATATTTATCTTGTAAATTAGCTAGGACTGCCGCATGGGACAACAAAGGAGGTGGATTCCCTTCATGTGGATCCTTCTGTAGTCTCATCCGTCGTGAGTATGTTCCCTTTACTATGGCCTTGCCCAAAAGAAATATAAGGCCACGCCCAATCCCTACTATTGAGCTTCCACACATAGAAATGCGGATTTGGTCTATCTTTAAGAAGCAGTTGTCATACAGTTTTTGTATGGCTCTGCATGGGGTTTTGCGGAAGCCCCCATCCTTAATATACCTTGACCGGTAACCTTCAAGTTGAATTGCGGGGATGTTGTCATCATGACATATGGAAGTTTGATTTGTTTTTTCCAATATTCCATACGCATTTTTCATCACAAAGGTCAATGGATTTTAATCTATGCTATATATATATATAGAATAGTGATGTCTAAACACTCATTTTTACTTATCACATGCTCTTCTTCATGTTTGGCTGTTGGATCAAATGAATTGAAGAAAAACAATAGCCAAACATTATATTGCCATTGAGGATACAAAACCTCATATTGCCCTTTTACCATTGTATGAGTTAATGTCAACCACAAAGAGGTGGATCATTTACATGTTGGTTTCCACCTGATACCATCTCGTTATGAATGTGATACCTTTTGCGACAACGGGAAGACTAACCTAGAACTCTCCATGCAACCGCCATGCTTCTTCGGCTATTATTTTCAAACAAATCCATAGCATATGTATATGGTTATAGCAAATATATATGTTCTCTTGAACTTTATCCCCTATTAATCCAAATGTAGAAGTGGTGTTGCAGCCACCACCCAGCTCTTGATTCTTTCCGGGAAATATTGAGAGGGCAAATATTAAACCATAAACAAATCCCTACCCACACAAACAAATCCTACCACCAAATCATAAACTCACATTTTTTTCCCTCTAAATGTAACCGATACTTGTTCCTTCACGAGTACCCAATAAATTGACCATTTTCTTTTTTTCGAACAAACAATATTACCTACACTAAAAGAGTGAGGAAAGTGAGCTAGAGCTAGCAATAATGTAGTTCAAATTCGTCTTTGGAGATAATTGAACTTGAGATCTCTTACTTACTAATGAGGAAGAATACCACTATACCATAGTACCAAGTGATAATAGACTGACCAACTTAGAGCCAAAGAAGAATACAATATTTTTTTTGAGTAAAAAGAATACAAAATTTTAAATTTTAAATTTGAGATTGTTTGTTTGTGCCCCAAGAAGAATGATTTCGAAACGTTGTTCCTACTCATTAGCACTCTTAAAAGAGAAAAGGTAAGAGCATCCTTGTCCCAAATCCTCCCAACCTAGCCTCATTTTTTTTTTCTTTCAACTTTTGACTATTCGTCTTGTTTCAACCAAAGAGATCTAATTTGCTAAATTACAGGTTTTCTATTTTTACAACTGTGATAATAATCTTGTAAACTACTCTGATTTGTAAAGACGAGAATGCGAACATGAGTACAAATAGTAGGCCTGATAATTTCTTACACGATCTATTAATACGATACAAAAAAGACATGAAAGTAATAAGTTTCGAGTCAAAATGATAACTAATCAGATCGTTATCGGATCACCCGTTAAGAACCTATTAATAACAAGTCATTATCAGGTCATCCGTTAACAATATGTTAGTAATGGGTCCTTAACGGGTTTCCATGTGGGTAGTTCGTCGGTAACCCGTTTCGACCTGTTAAGAAAAAATTATTTTGATGATTTTCAATTTAAAATACTAAAAAAACTTGCTATATTCAATAGCCATAGTACATATATATTGTATATTAAATATGTATTCTTATTATTATATATAAGTTTTTTTTAACTTATTCTATATAAGTTAAAAAATTTAAGTTTTATTTATTTATTTATTTTTATTATGAGAGTTTTTTTTATTATCATTACTGAGATAACTTTTACTTGACATGTTGTCCAAAATTCAATCAACTAGTTTAGTATTAGTGTAAAAAAAAAAAAAAAAAAAAAAAAAGACTTTCAATTTTGGAGTCAACAACCCAACAAAGTTTTTTACTCTTTCTCGTAAAATCATACTCATAAATGTTTTATCTTCTTAAAAGTGGGATTAAAATATTATAAAACACATTAAAAATTAAAAATGTCAAAGTAATTTTAAAATACCCAACACATTAAAAAATTATAATAATTAATTTACAAGTGCGAAAAATGTGAAAAAAAAAATGCAAACGCTCTAGATCACATTATCTACGCTTTGAGATGGATACATCGTCGTTTGAATTTTTAAAACCCTACAAACCCTTGTGAATAATATTTTTAGGGGAATCCAATATAAATAAAAATTAATTTTTGTACAAGTGTGAAATGTCGAAGAATATATAATCGCTCATGATTGCATCCTCTACGTTTAGATAATGGTTACATCGTTGTTTAGATTTTTTAAAACCCTCCAAACCTCCATGAATAGTGTGTTTATTATTAGAGTGCAAAATTAATGAAATTCATAATAATTATTGTAGAAATGCGAAAAATGTAAAAAAAGAATATTAAATCACTTGTAGTGACAAGCTTTACAACTTTCGTCAAGGGCCAACTCCAAAATTTATCACTATAATCCATAAACCTTATAATTACCCATCAATTATCGTTTATGCTTTATTCTTCTCATTGATTTTTTTTTCTTTCAGATTTTCTTTTTTGAAAACAATCTTTTTAGTTGATATAGAAAAATGAACCGTTTGGATCGTTGATATCACGTTCCAATATTTACAGTTAATTGAAATATGAGTCGATGTTATATAGTTTTTAGAGACTTTACAAACTTCAAGCAATATTTTCACTAACGGTAAAACTATGAACGTAAAATCAACGATATGAGCCGTTCATCTTCCTACATTCTCTAAAAGTTCATGTTTTCAAAAAACAAAATTTGGTGAGAAGAATAGAATATAAATGTAAACGACAATCACCAGTTAAATTTCGATCTATAGTTTATGTGTTATACAAGCGAATTTCGAAGTTGAGCCCTTTACAAAAGTTGTAAAGCTTGTCATTACGAGCGTTTATATATTTTTTTTTCCACACTTCTACATTAATTATTATTTATGTGATACTTGAAAGACAAATGTTGTTTTTTATGTTTTGAAGTAATATTTATGTAACAATGTGATATGCATATACTAATTCGGTGTTAATTTTTTCATTTGATTATTTATTGGTTTAAATTATATTTTTTAATGGATGACAGGTCGGGTCATAGTACCTGTT